TAGAGGGTAGTTGGGGGTTTAGGGCTTACCCTAAGGCTCAGGACAACCCAAAAGCCTTCTTACTAGTATGGTTTTTGGGCCCAAGAGCCTTATAATATGAGTCCTTAGAGCCTGAGGGTTAGGGTCTAGGGGAACACTTTGTCTCCAGATGTCTGAGGTCTCGAGTTGTCTCCATCCTGGATGGCATCCGACCTTCAGACACACTGCTACGGCTTTAGATGCCGCCGAAACCCTAAACCCTCAACCCCTAAGTAAACCATAAACCCTAAACACTCAAATCCCAAAACCCCTAAAACCCCTAAGCCTTAAACCCTACAACCCTTAACCATAAACCCGGTTTAAACCCTGGATCCCCGAACCGACCGTAAACCCTAATCCAGTTGTCCCAGTCATAAAGCCCCCCATCGCATACTAAATCCCGAAAGCCCACAGAACCACAACTCCTTAAACCCTAAGGGTCCACGTATTCTAATGGTGGAACATTGGCCCTAAAGTACCTATACAGGTACTACATTAAGGTCAAAGTATAGACTATTTGGGTACATGGACCCTTAAGGAAACTCGTAAATTTCATAGACTAAACGCCTAAACCCTAAACCCTAAACCCTAAACCCTAAACCCTAGCCCTAAACCCTAAACCCTAAACCCTAAACCCTAAACCCTCAACCCTCAACCCTAAACCCTAAAAGCCCAGAACTGGCACCTCGACAAGGAAGGTGTCCATGTCGGCCTTCTGCTGCGCTTGCAGCGCGATGTCGTACTGGTCCTGCAAGGTTTCGAAATGAGGGCTAAGGGTTTAGGTAGTTTAGGGCTTAGGGCTTAGGGCTTAGGGCTTAGGGTTTAGGGTTTAGGGTTTAGGATTAAGGGTCTAGGTAGTTTAGGGTTAAGGGTTAAGGGTCTAGGTAGTTTAGGGCTAACCGTAGTTTCGGGTTAAGGGTCTAGGTAGTTTAGCGATAAGGGTCTATAGGGTAGTTTAGGGTTAAGGGTCTATGGGGTAGTTTAGGGTTAAGGGTCTAGGTAGTTTAGGGTTGAGGGTCTGTAGGCTAGTTTAAGGGTTAGGTTCTAGGTAGTGAAAGGGTTAGGGTCTGGGTAGTTCAGGGGTTAGTGTCTGGGTAGTTTAGGGGTTAGGGTCTAGGTAGTTTCGGGCTTAGGGTCTAGGTGGCTTCGGATTTGTCTAGGTAGTTTAAGGTTTAGGGCCCGTAAGGGTTTGGTGCAGATCGTCGTGACGTCCGGGGGTTGAGGGTTTCGGAATCGATGGTTTTGCCCTATGCTGGGGCCCCGGGGAAGCTCCGCAGTCAAGGCTCAAGCTGCCCCGCAAGAGCTCGAAATCCTTGCGTGCAATTGATTGAATATGAGCCTACACTGAGATCATCGAATCCTTTTCTGGGGGCCTTGACAACGAGAAGAAGGTTTTGCTGTGCTACAGTATATTCGGTCGTATAAGAATAAATAGATGTAGGCTATAATAAGTGTGTAGTACTACTGACTACGTACTCAGACCTCTATACTAACCCTAGACCGGCGTCCCAAACGCCTCGGCATAAGACTCGATGGCAATCTTCAGCCGCCGTGTTGTGTCATGCCTGTGCGCAATTTCTTGAAGTCTCTGATGGCGAAGATTTGGATGTAATGCAAACGTTTTAATTTTATGTCTGCTGCAATTGCTGATTATCCACCCTTATACAGTCCCTGTGCAACTGCACTGTAATACAACCCTAAACCCTAGACCCTCCCTGAACCCTAAACCCCTCAACCCTGGACCCCCTAAACCCTGACCTAAACCCTATTGCAATTTTCGCGGGTCGTGTAGCACAGCGTTTCGGGATCATGGCATTGGCCCCATGCACAACTCAAAGGATCCACGAGACCCAACAAGTAGCTATAGTGAGCTGCAGTAGAGTAGTTCCGCATTTTTGAACTTAGGGTTTAGTTTTTGAACTTAGTGACCCTAAACCCTAAACCGTGAACCACCCCTGTGCAGCGTCGATCGTGGTGTCTTCTTCCCTCCGTTAAGGGGTACCCTGCTTAGAGCGTTAGGCAGCTCGGAAAGTAAGTGATATGTATAGTTATATCACCATGGATGACCCACAACAGGGTACTTGTGACTCTACTTACAACCTAACTACGAACTCCCCTAATCCTTTACGTAAGTCCCTGAACCGTGGAAACCAAAGAAGCCCTAAACCGTAAATCCTGAGGCCTA